GTACCACGCCACACATTAAATATATTATTCAAATTAAACTCTAAATTCATATAAATTAATAACAAAATTGATTATAGAAAAATGTTTACGTTGTTAAATAATACATTTTCTAAATTCTAAACCAACCTAAATCTAAGACCTTTACCAACTAATAAATTTCAGATACCAACCGACACCTCCTGAACTATTCTCCAACCACTAAATACATTAATTATTTGCAATACGTTCGATGTTCGAACTGCACGACGGAGAGTAGGAAGAAATTCCACCCCCCCCCCAGCCGCCCCTATTTCTCGTTAAAAATTTATTTGATAAACGCGAAAAGTTTCAGATTAAAAGTATAATGCATGAGCGTTGAAATGTAATCAACAATTCTTTTAAACCCTAAAGAAAAATACAAGGAAACAAACGATACGAAACGAAACAGAACACAAAAATTAAAATACTACGGTTAAGGGATGAAAAAAAGAAAAAGGGTGGTTGGGTGGGTTGGGATGAACAAACAGAAAAAAAAGAAAGAAAGAAAAAGAAAAATAAATCGTTATCTTTAATTCAACTACCATCATCCACCCCTTGTCCCTCCACCTCCACCTCCACCTCGGCCTCCACCTCGGCCTCCACCTCGACCTCCACCTCATGCTCCTTCTCATCCTCCTATCCTCATCATTGTTCTTTTTATTTGCATTCGTAATATCGAGCGTGGAAAAAATCCTCTTGGTAAAGTTGTTCTCCCCCTTTTAATGGAGTTGGATGTTAGGGGGTTGGAGGGTTAAGGGGTTTATACTTTCGTTTCAGTATCGACACTCGTCGATCCTTGAAATTTGTCTTCACCTTCTCTCGTGGGAATTCATTTGATTTCTTTTTTTCTTTTTTTTCTTTTTTTTCTTTTTTTTTATTCTACAACCCCCACAACAGTCTTTCTTTTTCTCAAACCCACTCACCCTTATCCTTCCAGGGTTACTTTAGTCCGCATTGGCTGACTTTAATTACGTCCTTTTAAGAGTGAAGCAAACAATACGGTCTACGATAATAATACAAACTCAAATGAACCTACCACCATCACCATTACTACCATCATCATCATCATCATCATCATCATCATCATCATTACCATTATCGTTATCATTGATCGACCATAACCTCTAATTTATTTTAAATTATTTTTTTTTTTTTCGAATAATAAAAAAAAGAAAACAATTTTAACGTTATTTAAATAATAATTATTAAACAATTACGATAAAGATAATAATAACGTATATCCTAAGTATTATTATTATTTATCTATAAATTAGGTTATTAATATAATAAATATTATATTAATTTAATTATACAATTTTTTACATTATTATTAATATAATATTTATTATATTATTATTATTTATATATAAGTTAGGTTATTAATATAATAAATATTATATTGATTTAATAATACAATTTTTTACATTATTATTAATATAATATTATAATAATATAATTATTTATATATAAGTTAGGTTATTAATATATATAATTTTATTATTTATTACATTCTAAATTATAATATTAAAAATTGATTTAATTATTAATATATATTATTTATAAATAATTCTATATCGATACCAAGATTAGGATCGAGAAAATTAATTAATTTTTTTTTTCAAATAAAAACTTAAAAAAAAACACACACATACACATACACGAGAAAATAAAAACGAATAAACTTAATTAAAAAAAACTAATTTAATTAATCAATTCAATAAGTTTTAAACAATTACTATAAATAATACTGTGTATCCTACGAATTATTATTAAACGTTCTAACAAAATATTAATATATCGATACCAATTTGTATCGAGAAAATATTCCCATAGAATTAATAAAAAATAAACAAACAAACAAAAAAGAACAAAAAATGGGACTCCCCAAAGGAAAATCTTAATCTAACCCATCCCTTTAACCCTCCCTCCCTCCCCCACCCTCTAAGGAATAAATTGAAAAAATTTTATATTCGAAAACTTAATCTCCCATACTTGAAGCACCGTATAAAATGGAAGAACTGAGTTAGGGGTTGGGATGAGGTGGATAAATAATTTCCCTCCGTTAGAACCCTCTCTAGAGAAAAATAATAATAACTTGGGCTATATTGTTCTTTTTTTTTTTTTTGAATTTTTTTTTTCCGTTAGGATAGATCAACAAACCCCCGTACCCTTCACTCCGCCCCCCCCCCCTTCAGTTCTTAGTCGATTTCGATATCACTTTTGACCAAAACGGATTGGAATAAGAAAGAAGAGGAAGGAAAGAATGGAAGATGGGTTGAAAGGATGAGTTAACAAAAAAAAATAAAAAAAAAGGGTTGGAAGGGGGGTTAGGGGAAAGGGGGAAAAAAAGCGTTGTCCTCTCAACTCGGGGCCAGCAGCCATTATTTTATTCTCTCTTGACCTAAAGCCAGGAACGCTGTTTCTCGCCGTTTACCTCCGTGAGGGTGAGGGAAAGGGTGAGGCACAGTTTTACTGGACGTTGGCCAATTTCCAGTCTCGCTATTCAAGAGAGGAAGGGATAAAGGGGCTGGAGGAGGGATGAGTTTTTTATTTTTTTGTTTTTTTTCCTTTTTTTACTATAAATTACCGATATCAATAAAATACTATTGGACAACGACACCAATACAAAATAAGCAGAGTGAAGGATTAAAATGGTAAACGGATTATAAAAAAAACTAAGTGGGGTGTTCTGGAATACCAAAAGGATTCAAAAGATTCATCAAAATATCAAAAATAATCTCACAGTAAGGTTTAAATGTTAATAATTCAAAGAGAATTTTCCTAACTTTAATTGAAAGGCCCAAAAATGTTGACCGTTTGAGGTCTTGACCACTTAATGCAATTCACCACTATCAAAAATTATCTGAATAAGGTCTAGTATTAATAATTCAACATAAGAGTTATATTCCTCAAATATCTTTTTCCTAACTTCAATAGAAAGGCCCAAAAATGTTGACCTTATTTAAGTCTTGACCACTTGATACAATTCACCACTATCCAAAATAATCTGTGTAAGGTCTAGTATTAATAATTCAACACAAGAGTTATTCTTAAAATGTCTTTTATCTAACTTCAATAGAAAGGGCCTAAAAATGTCGTCTACCTTATTTAGACCTTGTGAGACCACTTGACGACGCGATTGCCAACTGTCAAAGAGTATTAATATAAATAGAAAATAAGACAGAGATAGAGATAAAGATAGAATGAAATTCTAAACGTGAAAAAGGGGAAGGATACAGTAGAGAAAATCGTCTATCCAATATCAGCTACGATCGTCGTCTACGACTACGACGTCGAGAGTTGATGGTCGCTTAGAATTTCGCGTCTCGACGTTTCTCACACATTCCCACACACACACACACACACCACCACCTACACATACATACATTCACTCACTCATGTCAGTTCACAATCGTAGAGAAGAAGAAGAAGAAGAAGAAGAAGAAGAAGAAACTTCATAGCAGCAGCAGCAGCAGCAGCAGCAGTAGTTCACACACAAACTCACACACATACATACACACATTCAGTCACTCATGTCAGTTCACAATCGTAGAGAAGAAGAAGAAGAAGCTTCGTAACAGCAACAGCAGCAGCAGCAGCAGCAGCAGCAGCAGTAGCAACACGAACACTCCTACGACCGATCGATGCGTTCTTTTGTCGTATGCACTATTCCTGTCTCTTTCTTTTACAAATTCTTATGTTGGTAGTAGTAGTATTTCATCCCGTATTTTACTTCTGTCTGTGTGTGTGTCCTTTCCTCCCAACCCTTGTGTAACTTCAAAAGCTCTGCTGCTTTTTCTTATACGTGTTAGAAAAAAAGGAACGTGTGTGTGTGTATATGTATGTCTGTGCACGCAAGCGAATGAACGAACAAGAGAATGAAAGAGACAGATAGTTAAAATATGAAAAAAAAGAAAAATTTTATGAGACGAAAAAGTATGTGAAGCTTTTGTAAGACTTTGGCAATTGGCAAGGTGTCTTGTACTAACTTTAACTTACACGTATACGTAAACGCATGTATGCAGACAAGTTTTGAAAGCTCGCAAAAAGAGGGTAGTAGTGTTACCACCTATCACAGTATATTAGTCAGAAGGAAGAGAGTTAAAGAAGGTAAGAAAAGAGGATAAACGTGTGTATAAGTGTGTGTAGTTTCTCGTCGAGTATGCAAATTTTCCCTCTGACATCTTTCGATATGTGATGTCACAAAGGGAAAAAAAAAAAAAAGAAAAGTACAGCGCCTTTAGTACTTAAAGTTTCTTTTTTTTTCTTTTCTTTCCTTTTCTTTTCTTTTCTTTTCTATTCTATTCTATTCTATTCTATTCTATTCTGTTCTGCTCCTTTCATTTCTTTCTTTTTTCTAACTTGTCCCATTTCCTCTAGTTCCAAATTTCTTACGCTGTAACTTTTAAAAGACAAAGATACCCGCATATACATATGTGTGTGTTTGTGTGTGTGTGTGTGTGCGGGGGTTTATAAAAATATCAAAGAAACTCACCGTGCAAGGGTTTTGGAACATATAGATTGAGATATAGGCAGTCTTCGCTACGATTCGTCAACAAAGGTGCTATCCTCTGCAGATAGGCACGCCTTGATTTCGGTAAAGTCTCGTCCGATTCCGGTAAATTTTGCGGGCAAGCCGGTGGCAAGGTGTCGGCAAATTTGGTACCGCGCCAGGGTGTTGGGGTAACCGGTGGCATGTATCGTAATGCACCGAGTGGTGGGGTAGCGTAAGGCACGCCGTAATAAGTTTCGACGTTGGGAGATGATCTGGCAACGACCCCACGCAAAGTACCGTATCTGGTAGTGACCGTACGTGTACTATACTTTTGATTGGCTGGTAAAGCGTCCGCGAGACTTTCCTTACATTGGATTGCACATAAGAGACAACAATATACGACAAATAGCATTGCCTTTGGCAAATTACGATAAGACGAACCACCATTTTTCTTTTTCCACTTAATTCCTGATTTATAACGTAATCTTTCATCTTCATCGTCATCATCTTCTTCTTCCTCTTCTTCTTCTTCTTCTTCTTCATCATCTTCTCTTTCTTCCTTCTTATTTTTCTTCTTCTTCTTCTTCTTATCATTATTGTTATTATTATTATTATTACTTTTATTATTATTATTATTACTATTAATATTATTATTATTATTATCCTCGAAAAGTCTAAGGACCAATTGAGAGGACCTAGATGACAATTCCTCGCTAGACGATGATCCTTTTTTAACATACCATCCAGAACTATTATTATTCGCCAACAATTCGTATTCAACTTTCGTCTTCCTCTTCCTCGAAAGAAACGAGGAAAAGGTCGTCCGCATCGCGTCACGCCGCCGCGGACTCGCCGGCACACCGGGCCCCGCATCTGTGGGGCCCTCCTTCCCACCCTCCTCCTCCTCTTCTTCCTATTCTTCTTTCTCTTAGCACCTCACCGAACACCACCTTCACCTTCAACACCACCTTCTTCTTCTTCTTCGTTTCTTTTCCCTCCTCCTCCTCCTCCTCCTCCAGCTTTTCTTTTTCCTCCCTGACTCGACCACCACTTTCCCCCTCTTCTTCTTCTTCTTCTTCTTCTTCCTCTTCTTCTTCTTCTTCCTCTTCGCGTTCTTTAAATCCTCCCCTCAACAACAACAACTCTGCTACCTGCACGCTGATCGTCTTCTCCACGTTAACCCTAACTTCCATTCTCAAGGACAAACCCTGCTAAAAAAATTACTACGACGAACCCCCGAGCTACCCTTTTTTTGTGCTCGGAAGTCGCCCCTCTCCTCCACCTCACCTCCTCCTCCTCCTCTTCCTTCTCCTCCTCTTCCTCCTTCTTTTTATTATATTAAGTTTTCTTGCAATTTTTTCTTCTCTTTACTTTTGAGAACCATCACTACCACCATGGCCCAACACTTTTACAAACAATGTTGATCATCGATCAAAATTTCATTCCCTAAAGAAACAAATTGAAAATAAAAAAAAAAATAAAAAAACACAAGATTTTATTCTCTCTTTCTCTGCTTAACCCTCTCAAATCTCTATTTATCTTCTTCTATAATTGATGAACACCATCACTAGCCCAACAACACCACCACAATAACCACCACCATCACCATCAACACCACCACCACTAATACCACGAATTCCAAGATCCTCTGGAACAAGGACGAAGTGTTAAAGAGAGAGAGAGAGAGAGAGAAAGAGAGATAAAGAGAAAGAGAGAGTGACTTGTCGTTAACAACCAACCCCCAACCAACCCCCATCCAACCCTCCCATCCCCATACCCGTTGTCCCCGGAGTGATAACTTCGAATTAAGGTCGAGCGAAGTGACAGGAACGAAATATCGGGCGGAATTAATGAGAGAAAGAGACAAGGACGACCAACGACGACGACTACCGAAAAAAAAAAGAAAAAGAGAGAAAAAGAGAAAGAGAGAGAGAGAGAGAGAGAGAGAGAGAGAGGAAAAAAAGAATCAGAGAGCACTTCGTCTCCGATGATACGAGAGACAGTGAGAAGATATGTTAAAAAAAAAAATAGGTCGGCTGCTGTTGACAAGATATATTGTGTGTGTATATGTGTGTGTATATATATATGCATGTGTGTGTGTGTGTAGAGAGATATATGAATTGGGTAGCCTCGAAAGTTCGTACTGATTCATATATAGATATATATTATGTTAGATATTTTTTTTCTTTCTTTTAGATAAATTTTGTTATTTAGTATATTAATTTTTTTAAGTAGTATAACATGTAATTTATCAGACAACTAACTTAGTTTTTTTTAAGATTGATTCATCAAATAAACTTTCGTACCGATTTAAATCAAATAAACGTAAATGTGAATTATGATTAGTGTATAATAGTTTTGTAAATATTATTATTTATTATTTAAATTAATTATATATTTAATTAATAATTTAAAAATTAAAAAAAAAAAAATAAGAAAATACTTTGCATTAAATTGGTATAGGAATGTTTGAATATCGTACTGAAAGAAAATACATGTAATTGAAAATTATGATAAGTATATTATATTTTTGTAAATATTATTTAATATTTAAATTTTTAATATATTTATTATATTTAATATTGTTTAATTAATAATTTAAAATTAAATAAAAAAATGAAAATAGTTTGCATCAAATTGGTACGCGAATTTTAGAATGTCGTATAGATTTAAATAAAATAAATGTAAATGTAATTTACGATTGATATACTACATTATATTTTTGTAAATATTATTTAATATTTAAATTTAATATATTTATTATATTTAATATTATTTAATTAATAATTTACAATTAAAAAAAAGAAAATAGTTTCCATCAAATTAGTACGAATTTTTGAATTTCGTACAGATTTAAATAAAATAAATGTAAATGTAATTTACGATTGATATACTACATTATATTTTTGTAAATATTATTTAATATTTAAATTTAATATATTTAATATTATTTAATTAATAATTGACAATGAAAAAGAAGAAAATATTTATCATCAAATTAGTACGAATTTTTGAAGCAACCATTAATTATTTAACACAGTACAAACCGATTAGTAAAAAAAATTATATAATTTAATATAATAATATAATAATAAATAAATAATATGCTTAAGTAATTCGACAAACCCCATATCACGTTATATTACCGTTTCAAATATAAAATTTGCGAAAAATTGTATCGAAAAAGGAACGAAACTATGAAAAACAATGTATTCAAATTTAGTTTGAAGAGATTTCTACGATATAAATAGATTGTTGTACGAATTTTATTTTTATATATCCTGCCTCGTTCCTACGATATTATACGCGAATATTATTACTCTATTATATAGTCAAGCAAAAGGAGTATGATGGTGAGGAAGGTGGAGGGATTGAAAGATGAAAAGAAATCTCAAACTTTGAGAATAATTCAAATTGATTTCAATTCTTCGTAATAATAAAATTGAAAATAAATATTTATTTAGTATTCGGAATTTGGTACGAAAGATAAAATGAGATCAAAATGGAAGGATGACTGAAAGAAGGAGGGGTTGAGGAAAGGGAGGGAGTTGATTTTAAGAGGATCATAATATCTCGAATTCATTCGATTGATTTTGTTTTTCGAAATAACAATAATTAACAAAAAAAAGAAAAAAAAAGAAAACATATAATATATATTTGATTTAATTATGAAAGATGAAGAAAGAGAATTATTTTCGTGCAAGTTTTGTGATATATTATTTTTCGGATTTTGATAAAAAAGAAATACATTGATAAAAATAAAAAAATAAAAGGTAGGGGGGTAAATGAAAAATCGCATAATATAGTCGAAACGATCTAAAAGAAAACTGCGATAGTCAGTGGCTTCCTTCCAAGTTATATTCGTACTCCATCGTTGAGGGCTTTGCAACTTGGAAAAGAGGATCGATCTTGTCGTCGGATTATATTACGTGTGCCTGCTACCTACCCCTCACTCTTACTCACTCACTCTAAAAGATTCTTTTTATCTAACCAATTGAAATAAATATCGAAGAAATATCGAATATGGAAATGATCAAATGAATCATAAAAAAAAAAATAAAAAAAAACTGAAAATTCTTAACATTTTTGTTGTTGTTGTTGTTGTTGTTGTTATTTTTGTTGGAAACCTTTGCAATAGATTAAATAATATTTTTTCTATTTTTTTCTTTTTATTTCACAAAATACTTTAATATTATCAATCAAACTTTAACTTATTAATTAATTCAAATTTTAAATTATTTATATAATTATTTAAAATAATTGCAATTATAAATACTTTTTTTTTTTTATTTCATAAAACCTTAACACACCAATTATACACTATCATATATTATAATAATAACCATAGTATAATAATTTTATTATTATAACTATATAATTATTATCATAATTATTTAAAACAATCATTGTACAAGTACAAGTACAAATATTAATATTATTTTGTATTTATTTATTTGTTCATTTGCAATAACAATTATTCAATCTCATATCACGCGTTTGATTCAATTACAAATAATAATTTGTTATATTGATTAGGTTATGACAGAAAAATCAAGTTATTACTTCTTTTTTTTTTTTTTTTTTTTTTGATAGATTTCTTTATAGATTTTTGCGGTAACGTCATCCTATAACTATTATTCGAAAAATGTTCCAATGACAAATAGTGAAAATCTTCTTCAAGTTCATTTTATCATACTCCTACTTCTAACGTAATACGATCGAATCGGATAAGGGTGTTGATAAAGTGCTTACAACCTTCCGTCTCGACGAATATTCAGATAAATCTTTCCTAAAGTATTCCACGTGATAAATTTCATCTATCTTTCTCTCTCACTCTAATCATTAACACGTAAGAATCGTGAATATGATAAGGGATGAAAAACAATTTCCTATTGATTTCCTAAAAGATCCTCACCAAAAGTGACGATGAACAAAATATCAAATTAAATTAAATCAAATTTATAAATCAAAAAGAAATAAAGAAAATCAAAATGGAGAACACCACTCAATCCTGTTCACTACCCCCTAACCTTCCTCTCACTTTTCCCACACCCTAAGATTGTATCGTTTCTTAAAAGACCCCCCCCCTAACTTAAGATGACGATGACGATGATAAAAAAAAATATCAGATTAAATCAAATTTATAAATGAAAAAGAAATAAACAAAATCAAAATCAAAATGGAGAACATCATTCACCCCTGTTCACTACCTCCTAAACTGCCCCTTACTTTTCACACCCTCTTATTAAAGATTTCGTTTCTTAAAAGACCCCTAACTTAAGATGACGATGACGATGATAAAAAGATTAAAATTGAATGAAATTTATTGACAAAAAAAAAGATATAAAAATGATGACCCTAAACTCTCCCTTATCCTTCGCACCCCCTATTAAAGATAGTAATAAAGTAAACGAAGAGTAATCCTAGATTTACACGGCTCGTTTAACTTTAATCTAATCCGAAGTTTAAACCGACGGCAATGTTGGCGGCGGCGCTTGCTCTTCAACTTGGCGGAAACCAAACTCCGTGGCGCGCTTGCTAAAGATCAACCCCCCCCCCTCATTTTATTTGCAAAAACAAAAAAAACTTTCTACTTTCTATCATCGGATACAGATACTTAGAAAATATTTCGAGAAATTGGATAATTATACTAAAGTTTTAGAAGAAGAATAGTAACGTGTAAAACAAAACTTCAAACACTAGAATCCTGTTAATCGTTTAATTTGAAACTTGACAACAACAACAACAGCAACAACAACAAAACACCTTTTAAGATATCATCCTACGTAATTCCATTGGATATTATTATTTAACAGTTGATTACTCGATTTATTAATAATCTATCAGGTTACTACACATGATTGTAATATTTAAAACGAAGTAAATATACTTCACCTAACTATCTCTAAACTTTCATTCTCTAATATTTTTGTATATAATTATTTTTCAGGAAGAGATAATTAAAACAAAAAAAAAAAACGTGCGAAAAATATAATACAGCGTTCTTGACAAAGTGGAATGATCACACTCACTCACACACACACACACACACGTTTTATTATTCCAGTTTCACATGTTCATACTCGTGCATAATATTTACTCATTGACAGTAATCTTAACGAACACATCACCATTTAGAACAACAACGAAAACACTTGCCAGTAACACAACCGGCACTTTTATTATTTATTATTATTATCATTAAAATCATTCTAGTGAGAAACAATTCTCATAGATCATATCCCGGCATATATCATCTCACTTTCGCGGAATTTTGGGGTTTCAAATGGAAAACAACAAGAAGCCCGATTATACGAAGAGAAAGAGAGAGAAAGAGAAAGGAGAGGAGCCTCAGCAAGGGTTGCGCACGATCGGCTATCTGTCCCGGGCTCTACTGCCGCGCGAGGAGCCATCGTGCGACCCCCATGAAGGTACCAGTAGTGGTGGTGGTGGTTGGTGGTGGTGGTGGTGGTGGTAGCGAAAATGGTGGTAGTGGTGGTAGTGGTACTGGTAGTGCTGGTACTGCTGCTGTTGGTGCTGGTGCTGCTGCTGCTGCTGATGGTGATGCTGGTGCTGCTGATGCTGATGCTGATGCCGATGGTGATGCTGTTGGTGGTGGAAATGGAAATGGAAGTGGAAGTGGAAGTGGTGCTGGTTCTGATGGTTCTAATGGTGGTGGTGGTGGTGGTGGTGGTGGTGGTAGTTGGGATGAAGAAGGAGGATGGTCCGGCATTCGAGGAAGACAAGGGGTAAAAGGGGGAGGGTAAGGAGGGTTATCCAGAGCGCCGACGCCTGCTTTCCTACCGACCACCAGTCCGGTCGATAACGCCACGGCAACCCCTGGCTGCTGCTTCCGATTCTCCTCTTCCACTACCCCCACTTTTACTACCCTACCCTATCATCCCCTACATCCACCCACGCACTCTATTCCTACTCCTCTTTTCTCTTCTCTTCTCTTTTCTTCTCTTCTCGTTTCGTCTCGTCTCGTCTCGTCTCGTCTTCTATTCGCGTGCTCTACTTCATCTTCACTACTGCACGATGCTGATTCTGCTAGCGCACACCTCTAACCTTCTAAGGGAGGAAAGGGGCTCCCTTTTCCTAAGTATACTACATACACTTTTGAAAGAGCAACTGAGACAACACTAACCAACTTTCTTGTCCTTCTTCTTCTTCTTCTTCTTTGAATTATCCAACTCGAGCAATCTATGGACCATGACGAAAGTCAGTCTGGATGGGTAACCACGACTACTACAAATACTAATACTTTACTTCGATCTCATCCATAGGTAGTGTTATATCGAAAACCCTTTTGAACCGTACCCCCGTTTTTCCATTTGTCGAGATTGTACTGATCACAAACGATTTTTATTCTTTTTCTTGACTTTTTTTCTTCCAATCTTTATTTCTATCTCTTTTCCAGAGACAACCCTGTGCTCTAACTTTTGCCTTTTTCCAACCCTATAACTTCCTCTTCTTTATCGATCGAAAGAGAAGTCAAAGAAGGAATTAATTAACGACTTTCTCGCGGGCAAATCGTTGGAATTTCATTGGCTCCGCAGTAGGAACACAGAAGACCGGTTACCTAGAACGAGCAAGTAATTCAGCTCTCATAGCGTTTCTGTCCAACCCCCTACCGACAAAACGGTTGGGTGAAGGGATGGATGGGAATAGGGGAGGACAGAAACGAAGCAGAAAATTTGATTAACTTCGGGGAATCGAGTTCTTCTTCTCCTTCTTCTTCTTCTTCTTCTTCTTCTTCCTCCTTTTCGATACGGGGGTGGGGATAAGACCGATTCAAAAAAGATCGAATTAAACGGCCGAACAATTGTTCCAACTGAGATTTTCATTATTTTCTTTCATTCATTTTAGATTTTGCGAGTATTTGATTGATCTTTCAACAAAAGGATCTCGTCAAAGATTCGATGTAAGCCACCTAAAAAAGTTCCCCATAAGAGAAAACCCTTTTCACTTAAAACGTTGATTGTATTCCGGTTTGCTACGTTCAACGAAAGTACAAATGGTTTTGTACTTTGACAATGAACTCGATTATTATTGGACACTATTAATACACGTCAAAGCAAATATTTCAATTGGTTTGAAACAATATTATTATTATTATTATTATTATTATTATTATTATTATTATTATTATTATTATTATTATTATAGAATGATGTAATATTAAATAGAGAATAATATAGATTGATAGTGTTGCAGTATTACATATGGCGAATATTTTAATCACAAAGTATGCCAAGTGTTTTGTCATTCACTAAGAATACGATTGAATTTGATATATATGTATAAATGTGTGTGTGTGTGTTTGTATATAAATAGGTATAAGTGTGAATCGAGATAAAAGACTACCCCAGAGTCCCAAGAGATGAGAATGAGTTCATTAGAGTTTGCCAGTAGTTTTTCTCAGTCAATATTAGTCCTTTTAGTTTGTCCAGTTTTTTTTTTTCTTCTTCTTCTTCTACTTCTACTTCTTCTTTTACTTTTATACAGTCCACTCACTGATCTACCGAGTTATATTCTTCCTACTTTCTTATTTTTTTTTTTTTTTCTTGTGACCATGTTCCTTTTTTTTATTTTCTTCTAATTTCCAATAATTTTGTAGAAACTTAATAAACACGTTAACAGTTAGGGTTACTTGTATAATATTGGATTGACAACTAAGTAATTTGTGGATTTCAGGAATAATTTTTCTCTTGAAAAATTTGCAATTATTTTGTTGTCAACCTAATACATTTATATTTGAATCATATTATATAATCCTATTACCATTTTGTTTAAAAGAAAATCATTCGTTAATATTTTAAGAAATTAATGCAACTTTTATATTGAAATTGTTTTACATAAAAAAAAAAAAAAAAAAAGAAGAAAAAAAAATCAAAGAAGAAAGAAAAGAAAAATTCCTGTATAACAATACACCGTACAATAGTTTACCACTACATTAACGCGAGTATTCANTCAACCTAATACATTTATATTTGAATCATATTATATAATCCTATTACCATTTTGTTTAAAAGAAAATCATTCGTTAATATTTTAAGAAATTAATGACAATTCGGTATATAAGTGTAATCATTTTAAGAAGAAGAAAAAGAAGAAGAAGAAGAAGAAAAAAAAATCAAAGAAGAAAGAAAAGAAAAATTCCTGTATAACAATACACCGTACAATAGTTTACCACTACATTAACGCGAGTATTCATTCGATGGACCAATATTTCAATGCAACCAACAACAATACGTTTGTCACGGACTCTTAAAAACCGGACGGGAATCATGAACGTTGGAGAAATAAAAACAAATTTCCCGGAAAGATAAAATGAGAGTGTGAGAGAGAAAAAGAAAGAGAGAGAGCAAGAGATAGAGAGAGAGAGAGAGAGATACCAACCAACGAAAAATAGAAAAAAACAAAAAAAAAGGAAAAAAGGGGGTGCGAGAAAAACAGACACGAGGTTGAACGGAAGAAAAATAAATAAATAAAAAAAAACTAAAAAAAAAAATAAAAAAAATAAAAATAGGAAAAGAAAAGGGGGTGGGGTGAAAAACAGAGACGGGAGTGAACGAATAGAAAAAAGAAGAAAAATATAAAAAAAAAAAAGAAAAAGAGAAAGAGAGAGAAAACGAATCGAAATAACAATTTCGTTCGTAGGGCGCGAAACGTGCGCGAGAAACGTGGCTCGACGGAAATTGCCTCGTTATCGTCGACGTCTCCGTTATTTACGACCCTTAACGAGCGAAAGCTTACGGCTCGTGCTCCTCTTCTTCTATTCGTCAGAGGAGGCCCAGAGAGAAAACGAGCCTTAGACACGGCTACCCCTTCTTCTTCCTCTTCTTCTTTTTTTCTTTTTCTTTTTTTTTTTCTATTTTATTTTTCCTTTTCTTTACCCTCCACCTATACCAGCACCACTTTCAACCCCCCATCTGCTGCTTCTTCTTCTTCTTCTTTTGCTTATGTTATTTATTTTTTGTCATTTGTTTTTTCCTTGTGTACCTTTCTCGAGTCTTCTTCTTCTTCATCTTCATCTTCATCTTCATCTTTTTGTTTTTTGTATAGGAAAGAGGTAGCTCCCCATTCTTGAATTGTTACGCTCCTGGTAAGAGAGATAACCTCTTGAGATTAATTAATGGTCACTTTTCTGTTGGCCAGTTAGATTTACGATGTATAGCCCATCATCTTGATCATCTACGATTTGATTTTTATTATAGGAAAAAAGTTAGGTTAAATTGTAGTTTAAGAAAATTAAATATTAGTATTAATATTTATATTTAATTTATATTAATATTTACCTTGTTTTTTTGACTTTAACTTAACCTAACTTTTTTCCTAATCTTTCTTAACCACTTGCCCTATGATTTAACTTCATGGTTGCAGTTTCGTGCGCTACAATATTGCACTTGTTGAAACAATATCACTGAGTTTACCAATATTGGTTGAAATGATGAAAATAATTTAAATCTATTTATTATCTATTTTTTTTTTGTACACGTCGCTTGCAATTTTGAAACAAAAGCACATCACGACGTGCGTGGCACGTTTTCGTAAGGGTAAGTGGTTAACCACCTACCTTCAGCCATTTTCTTATTTCTATTTTTCGTCGTCTTTTGGATTTTATTTTGTATATATATATATTTATTTGATCTTTTTGCTTTCTCCATCTTAAATTTCTATTTTACGAGATTTATATTAATCGTCGATCAAATAAAAACCTTGATTATTATAAATTGAAAAGAACGAAGAAAGAGAACTTAAAGATAGGATCGTTTTATCCTAGTCAAGTACTCGGATACGCTATTTCCGTTTATTTCCAGATGATAAAATGAACGAAAGAAAGAGATAGATAAGTGAAGGGATGGATGGAAGGGTAGAGAAGAAGAAGAAGAAAAAAAAGGGCTAAAATAGGGGAAAATAAATGATCGAGAAATCGGATAGCAGCAATTTACGCAAGTAAAGGAATACCGTTAATTAACAACTGCAACTTGATAGTAGTACATTTTTAAACAGCGTACGTACTATCATCAAGTATTAGAAGAATAGAAAGAAAAAGATAAAAAAGAAAATAAGAAAAGAGAGAGAGAGAGAGAGAGAGTGAGAGAATGATAGAAAGAAGATAAAATTACGAAGGTAAAAATCCATCCGTTCGATTTACGTTGACGCCATTTTGCTTGCTGACGCTTTTACCCATGGTAAATGATGAAAGTGCGTAGACACGCGCTTTGAGGTTAGGTTAATAAGAAAAAGGTTGAGTGTTTTCTAGCGTTAAAAGTCTTATAACACTCGGGCTTTTCGCGAAACCCTTTTCACATTATTTAATCCTCATCCCACTTGTAACCCACCCTAACCTCCACCTCCACCTCCTCCTCCTCCTCCTCCTCTTTAGTTTTACTCGGCATGAGGAAAGGGAGAAGGG